AAACAGAACAACCAAGAAGTGCCACACAGCGGACAGCCAACAAGCGCAAGGGTGCCGTGCTTCGACGATCGGAAACGCAGTGCCACAATCGAATCGAATCGAGTCGAGTCGAGTCGACCAGAACACAGACCAGACCAGACCAGACCAGACCAGACCAAGCGAATCCAAATTCGGCAAGCGACCCGCACGACATGAAGGTGTTCTTCGTGTTCTGTTTGCTGTTGCGAGGCGTCGATCCGGTGGGTTCGGTTTCGGTTTCCGCTTCCGCTTCGGTGGTAACAGTTCCAAGCGCGGAAGCGGGCGCGGGCTCCGAGGCAGCCCCCGGCGATGCTGTTGGCGCCATTGTTTGCGGGCCCGGAAGCATCGCGAGCACCAACGCAAGCACCAACGCAATCACAAACACMARCACGGACAKYACCGGCCTCCCGCGCGCGGCGGTGGCTGTCCCCCTGGTGGTGCTAGCGCTCGCCCTCGGATCCCGGGGGGCGGCCGGGTTGGTGACGATCCCCCTCCTGGTGGCCCTCTGCCTGCTCCTGTCGGGAATCGCGGCGCTGTGGGGGTGGGTGTTTTGGTTGTTTGCCCCGCTGCGAAGGATCTTCCACACCGGGGCGAGCCCGAGCCAGAGCAACCGCCACCGCCATCGCCGCGGAAGCAGGCGAATGTACCACAGCAAGCGCCGGGAGCTCTTTGCCCGGCGGTGGCGGATCGAACAATCCCTGCGGATACGAGACTTTCAGACCATCCGGTGGRACCGGGACCCACGAGAGCAGCAGSGGGAGCAGCAGGGRGAGCAGGATGCAAACCGAGGGAACGATCCGCGTCCCCGCTGCTGCCCGATTTGCCTCGAGGAATTCAAGCCAGGGGACAACGACAAACACCAACGCGGGGAAGAAGAAAACAACGTCAACGACATCGTTAACGACATGGTCAACGAAAACGAAAACGAAAACGACACCACCATCGTGTCGGGCCCGAGGGACTGCTGCGGAAACAACATCTTTCACAAGGCCTGCATCCTGGCCTGGCTGCTCCGGCCCACCGAACCCGCGGGCGGCTACCGGTGCAACGACTCCTGCCCCTGCTGCCGCTCCCCGCTGCTGGCGACGAACGAACGCAGCAACGACAAAGACAACGAAAACGAAAACGACGAATACGAATGCGAACGCACCATCGCCGCCGAGGACGAGGCCTACGCGAGGCACGTGCGGTCGCTCTACCGCCGGAAAATGGCCGAGGCGACCCTCCGCCGGAACGCGGTGGTGGCAGCCTACCTCGAGCGGGAGGCGCAGGAACGACAACGCCAACGAGAACGAGAACGCCAAAGCCAACGAGAACCAGAACCAGAACGCCAACGAGAACGAGAACGACAACCAGAACCAGAACCAGCAAGAACCCCGGCCCCGCCATAGCGGACGACAAGGGCAACCCGGTACAGACGGGGCTGCAACACCACGGACCCCGGGCTTGCAGAGCATGGGTGTGTTGGAGTAGTGGAATGAGTTGGCCAACCATGTACGCCGATGTGCCATACGGACACGGTGTTGCACCCATTGCTTTCCACCGAATGCGCGATAGATCGATAGCTTGCATGCATAGTATAATTTATAAAAGTACATTCCTATGTTTTCGTGCTCGGTTGGATTTGTTTCCTCACGCTCGAAAGTCTTCAAACGTGGTATTGCGCTGTGTTTCAGCCATGTTCTCAATTAAATTAAATTTTTCAAAATTGACGACCCATCGAAAGACTCGTTTCGGCCTCCATAAGCAGGGATGCTGCGGATGACTGTGACCGGTACTCTTTGTTCCATCCTCCGGTCTCCTTCCGTCTCGTTTCCAAGAATTGCACCAAGCCATCGCCGTCCCGTCCGGTTTCTCCCAAAAACGCACCAAAAATTGCAATCCATCCCGGACGGTGTTCTGGCACCGCACCGCATCGCATCGCACGGCACCGCATCGCATCGCATCGCACCCGTCCCCGCCGAACTCCCTCACCGCGGGGCCAACACCAGCCTCACGTCGGTGCTCGGCCGAAAGGTGACGCTCGTGGTGTACTCCATGGGGGGATGGGACCGGCCCCCCTCCAGGGACACCTCGAACCTCTTCAGGAGGAAGGACACCATCACCAGGACCTCGACCTCGGCCAGGTCCCGGCCCGGGCAGACCCTCGGCCCGGTCCCAAAGGCCCGGAACCCGTTCCGGAAGGTCGGTTTCGTCACCCCCACCCCCGGAGGCAAGCTTCCATCGTGGTGGTGGTGGTGGTTGCGATGCTTGCTTTGGCGGTCGGAAGCGGTCCCGCCGCCGGGAACGACCAGCCACCGGCGGGGGCAGAATGCTCCGGGGCCCGCCCCCTCCGGACCCCCCGGGAGGGACCGCCCGTGCAAGGCGGACCACAAGGTCTCCACCCGGGAGGCGTACCGGGCCAGCAGGAGGAACTGCGTCCCAGCGGGAAAGACGATCCCGTTGACCTCGACGTCGGTCCGGGCCTCGCCGTTGTTCATCGGGGACGGTCCCTTCACCCGCAGGACCTCGTACAGAAGGGACCTCAGCCGGGGCAATCCTTCGTTCAACCGATCGAAATCGATGGTTTCCTCGGCGGTCTTTCCTTTGTTCGTTTGGTTGCTCTTGCCGTTGTTGTTGCCGTTGCCGCTGCCCCCCGATGCACCGCGAAACATTTCCAGGACCTCCCCCGCAATCTCGTCCTGGAGCGAACCCCCCAGGGTCTTGTCCAGCGCGAGCTCGTAGATACAGTCCAGGATGGTTACGGAGGTAGTCTCGGACCCCGCGGCAAACATCGTGATGAGGTTTCCGATCACGCGGTCCTCCGAAAGGCGCACGCCCTTCTCCTCCGTGAGGGCCAGGAGTTTTGCCAGAAAGGTCTTCCGAACACGCGGCGTGGTTCCGTCCTCGCCTCTCGGGTGGTCCTTCCCTTTAAGGGGGGGCGATTCGTGGTCACGGAGGATCCCGCGCATCGTGGCTTTGGCACGATCGGCGCAAAAGCCCGCGCCGTCCAGGTACTGGCCCACCACCGGGATGTTCCAGTACGGAAAGGGGGCAAAGATCCGAAGCGCGGCGCGGCTCAAAACGTTCTGGACCTCGCTGCAGATGCCCTTGTCCCCCGTTTGCACCGAGTTCACGTCGGTCGCAAATACCACCAGCGATATAATGTCGACCGAGTAGCACAGGAGATCGTCGTTGGCAAGAACGGAACCGTCCTTTTCCATTGCATCTTCCCATTTCTGGACCAAGCGGGAGGCCACGAGCTTGACCACGGAAACGTAGTCCTTGACGTTTTTGCGGTTCAGGGCCGGGCCGACCAGCCGTCGCTCCCGTTTCCATTGCGCCCCCTCCGCCGTGAAAATCCCCGTGGCTCCCAGACTGTCCAAGACCTCGCTCGTTCTGGATCGTCGTATGATATCGTATGGCCGGTGCTTGTCGAGTGCCGAGATGGTTTCGTCGCTGTACAAGACGATCAACTTTTTGCCGAAGATGTTGCACTCGAAGATGCCGTTTTCTCCGTACCTGGCGGCCCAGTCTTCGAAGCAGATGGTGCTGTTTTTGAATCCACCGGGTATGGTGTTTCCAACGAAAGGTCTTGCTCCCGGAACCACAGGCCAGAGTGGGCCGGGCGATTCGGAACATTGTTGCTTCTGTTCCTGTTTCTGCTTGTGCTCCATCTTTTGTGTCTTGGAGAACGCAAGGAATATCACCAGAGACAATCCAAAAACCAGAGCCAGAACGAGACCGGACCGAGAAAAGTCATGAAAATCTGCAGGCAAAAACAGTGAAAGCTTCGTGACCGACGCCAATTGTCCCATGCCGAACACTGGGCTATGCACCTGCATCGGGTCGGCCAGAAAAGGATTGAGTCCGTTGTTGGGATTGATTGTGGCCTTCATCGCTTCAGAAGTGCCGACGGCCGTTGCTGCTCCGTGCACAGTATCTGAGCATTAAATTCTATGGGTTAACTGCATTCGTTGTCGTCTCGGTCCATACGTACTGTACGTTGCGCCAGTGCCATATTGTATCACTGCTGGAAATTTGAGTTGAGTTCGGGATCGAAAGAGAAAGAGAAAGGATGCCAAGTTTCATAAGTGATTCTAGGAGTAATAACTAATGTTTCCTTTTTTTGACAAAAGACTACTCGATCTGAACGGTTAGGAGAACGATCCCACTTCACGCACTTTCCAGGTAATTAATTCGAACTATTCTTTCTTCTTCATGATCTGGAGTTTGAAGACCACCCAAAGTTTCATAAGTAGTATGAAGGATGAGTCATCGATTCTTCAATCGTACTATAGACTCTTCTCGTTTTAGTATTCTTCTCGATACTATTAGCTGATAATTTTCTTCCTCACAACTCCTATAGTTAAAGGGTTCAGTAGTCCAAACTTTAAATCTATAGTAAAAGTAAACGCCCTCATTCTCCGAATGCCAAGTTTCTTAAATATAAAAATAGAAAACGCTAAGTACATTCTTTTGACCATTCGAAGACTCCATCACGATATTAGGAACATTAAGTAACACTTCCAAAGTATTCCAGACATGCCTTTTTTATCCTGACAAAACATGCAGATGAGATCACAACTGCAGCTGGAGCCGTAGGAAATGCAGCAACTATCGCGCGCATGCGCGCATCTTGAATAACTGACGCATGTGATCTGCCATTACCAATTTTGATTGGCTGATTCTATTTAACAGATGTCATGATGACGTCTAAAAAATAGATGATTAACRAATATTGGCCGAGAATTGATCGAGAATAGATTGAGAATAAATCAGGAATAGACGTAGAATACTTCGGAAATAGATTTCACGATTTATTCTCGATCTATTCTCGATCGATTCCTGGTTTTTTTTGTGTTGTCTTTAAAGGAAGCAAGCATCGTGGTGTCGTAGCAGCAGCAGCAACAACAAGCAAGAGCTTGCAGCACCAAAACAAGCAACCCCAACCCCAACCCGGTACGACTAGCAATTGAAAGTACTGTACTGCTTGGCAGTTGCCAATGCACAACAGCAATGAGCAAACGAGCCTAAGCAACGAAGCACGCAATCCCAACAGACAGACGAATCACTGTGAACACCACAATACAGCACGATGCATACCTTGCAACGCCATGACGCTTCCCCATTCCGTGCGCTCCGGGTCCTGTTCTATGCCGGTATGGCAGCGCTGGCGATGTCGGCCGTGGCTGTTGTCGATGCTGCCCGGGGCAACGATTGCAGTCCGGGGGTTCCACTTCCCGCTAATTTCGACGGTGCCGAGTGGCCCGAACTCGTCCGCGTTCGCCCCGAGGACGAGGCAACTCTTTACGACGGCGGGGACAACAGCACTACAGCGAATGCCACGAATGCAATCCTCGTCGAGCCTGCCGTTCTGGCCAGCGCGGGCGTTGCCTACCGGTACACGGACCCGGCCCGATTCGAAAATGCGACCAGCAATATCACCTCCTCGATCGCGTTGCCCGATGCCGTGATCCAACAGCTGTCGCTGGCACTCGACGAGAAGAGCGATGATCCTGATCCTTACTACAAGCACGCCAACGTGGTTCTGGCAACGGAATTCGCCGACGAATTCTGGGACGAGCACTCGATGGAGGCCAACACGAACGCCAACGCCAACGCAAACGCCCCAGCCGCCAAAACTGCAAAGTACGTCCTCGATGGGAGCGGAATCCTCGACGTGAGGGACCTCGAGGACGAGTGGGTGCGGATCCACCTGTCTCCCGGGGACTGGTTCGAGCTGCCCGCCGGCATTCAGCGGCGCTTTTCCGTCGACGACGAAGACTCGTATCTCTTGGTCGTGGATCTTTCCGCGTCTTCCGAGCCGAAACGCATTCCCCGGTGGCCGGAGGCAGCGGCCGGAGAAAAGATTGACAACACCGGAGCACGCAACTCCTACGTCGATGCCTATCTGTGCGGGGTCGATCCCGACGGGAGCACGAGCACGAGCACGAGCACCACCGGGGGCAGCCTCTGGAACGACGGCCTGTGCTCGTCCCATTCCACGTGTGCCGGGCTCGACCTAGACGGCGACTGCTGCCCCACCGCCGAGGGCATCTTCTTGGACTGCTGCGGTGCCTACATACGTTCCGAGGGGACCCTTGCCCGCGGTGGGAACGGTAGCGGACGGCTGCTGTGGGCCTCCCTGCTCGCGGGGGGCGTCGCCGCTGCCATCGCGCTTTAGATCGACCGGAGAGGCAATGGTGCCGCGCCTGGTCCGGTTGGTTGGTTTTGGCACCGTTGTCTCTTGGGCCTCGGTGGGGTCCTTGGTATTTATTCGTGGTCTCCCTCTTATTGGTGCATTTTGGAACGAGGTGCTGCACACTCCCTCTTGTGGCGTCGATACAAATTATTCCCAACGACAAAACACGCGTCGGTCATTGTACCGAGTACCGGAATCTCGCCACACGCTCCAAGAGACGAAACCACCGCCACAGGCAACATCCTCGCCATCGGAGGTAGACGGAACGCCAGCATTGTTTTCACTATTTAGCTTGGCGCGGCAGAGGCACTCTCCATCGTCAACCATTTCACCGCTCACACCACCTTCGATACTCTCTAGGGACAGATCCTAGACCGAAAATTAAAATCCATCAAAATCGATGGCAACAGAATTAATAGCAATTTATGGTATAGTAGTAGCTATTACTTCCAGCGTTTGGCGGGTTGGTACAACGGACGGATATGCTTGAAAAAAACGAGTAGAAAGAAACACGAGTGCTGATGCTGGCAATTCTTATTGTTCTTCGTGTGGTTGGAGGAACACAACCGAGTTAATCCTGATTCTACAAATAGTCGGTAATAAAATCAACCTTTGAAAAACTGCTGACTCCAGTGGTAATGGTAGGAGTCTTGCTATCCCCACGATGCCACTAAGGCATCGAGGCTTTTCTTTCATGCCATCGCTACGCTTGGGAGATAAAAATGAACCCAATGTGCGATCGTGTGGAAATTTTCCCCGTGTGAATTCATTCTCGAAAATACGAGAAGTGGCCGACACGAAAAGAACATAGAACAAATCGCAATCTACAATTTAGACGCATTCACTAGTCCTGCACCTAACGAGGCAAGGGTTGTGTGCATTGGAGGACGTCCGACCCTAGCGGTCAAATCAAACACCCAGACTCAGACCGCCGGCAACAGCAAGACATTCAAAACATTACGGAAGAAGTTGAAAGAAACCCTCGTTATTTTGAGACACGCAAGAACTACTCGGTCCCTTGCTTGGTCCTGTGTTTCTAAAAAGTTCCGCCTCGTTGCGAAAAAAAAAGCCGAAAACGAAATCCCCACCACCGTCGCTGGTATGGTGCAAGGTTTCCCAGGCTTTGGGAGATTTCTCGTCACGGGGCCGTTTCGGTGTCCGAATGCCATCCACACCGAGTGGCGACCGGGTCCCGCCAGCAAACGCGGCGGGTGTAGAACGAAGCCCCTAGTGTCGCACGGGGTGCCGTGCTGTGCGAAGAATTCGCCGCCAAACGAAGGACGTGGGCAGGGGGCGGGAGCCGCAACGCCGCTGCCGTGCCCGCCTACACGATGCTTCCGAGGTTCGCTCTCTTGCTCCGTTTCCGGTCGATGGCTCGTTCCCGCCCGCCCGAGTTCCGGAGGGAGGCGGACGTGAGGGATTTCATCGAGTACACCTTTTTCATCCCGTTTGTGCCATCCTGCGGCGGCTGCACCCCCGGGGAGAGCAGCAGCTGCGTGGTTTCCACTGGCGGTGTCTCGGCGTTCACCATCGCCGGGACCGCCTCCGGTAAGAGGTCGATCTTTTCGTCGTCGTCCTCCTCCTCGTCGTCTTCGTCGTCCTCTACGTCGTGTCCCCTCGGGCCGAACCGCAGGAGGAGCATCATCAGGCAGGTTCCAAAGGAAGCCGCAAAATACAGCTCGCCCCCGCACGCGATCCCGACCTGTCGAATGGTGCGGTGCGTTGTGGTGTTGCCGTGTCAGTCAAGAGAAAGAGCGAACAAACAGGTTAGCGACGACGGTGTCGTGAGAGCGCGAATCCGATTTTGTCTGCCCGACGACGGGCTGTCATCGACGATTCATCCATCCATCCATCCATCCATCCATCCATCCACTCGGTCGTCCAAACAGGCATCGCTGCGCAATACGGGCAAACCAATGCAAGGCATTCGCATTCCAGCGGTGGGCACCTACCGCTGCCGACAGCCACACCGACGCCGCGGTCGTCAGGCCGTGGACCACCATGTTGTCGTCGTCGCTGGTCTTCTTGAAGATGAGGCCGGCCCCCAGAAAGCCCACCCCCGAGGGGATCGCCGCCGAGATCCGCGAGGCATCCCAGGTCTCGGGACCATCGACAAAGGCAAAGGCCGAGTTGATCGTGAAGAGGCACGAACCCAGCGAGACGAGGGACATGGTCCGGATCCCGGCCGGCCGGTCGGCCTGGCGTCGCTCCCATCCGATGAGGCCGCCCATGAGGATGGACATGACCAGCCGGCGGCCAAAGGAGCACTCGGTCTTGTTCATCCCCAGGAGGATCCCGTAGCGGACCCAGGGGCACCGGGAGCCATCGTAGGAAGCGTTGGGATAGGCGATGGGCTCCTCGCCCTCCGGGACGTAACACTCCAGGTGCAGAAAGGGCTCCGCCATCGAGGCCAGGCCGCAGCCAACGACGTAGAACGAGGCCATGGTGTACATGATGGCCTTCTTGGCGGTGAACTCGGTAAAGTAGCTCCGGGGGTGCAGGTTCCCGTGGAGGGTTTTCTTGGTCGTCTCGTCGTCGTGGACGCCCCCCCTGGTGACCGAGCCATTAAGGTTGCCAAAGCCCGAGAGCTGCCTTCTGTGCGCCATGTTGTATGTAAGCGTTCCGGTCTCCTGTGTCTTCTTGTCGTGGGATATATCACCGTGCCTGAACAGTAAATAGCGGGCAAACGGTATTAGATGCAGAGAGGTGTCTGTCAGAGAAAGTGGGCATGGTACGAGATGGCATGCATTTGCAAGGAAAAAGGGCCTTGGATGCAGGATGTGGTATGAGAACGTACGTACCCGTACGAAAACGCTTGAATTGGGTGTGTGTGGATATCGTATCCCTTGACAAAAATTTAAAAAATCGTTCCGGTACCACATTTGCTTCGATTCTCTGAAAATTAATTAGAAGTAGAAATAAACATGAAAATATCAACACCAGTAGAGTTTTTGTTTTTTGTGAAATGAGAAAACGGACGAAGATTGTTGGCGTACAAATGCAAGAAGAATGCTGATGGAAGAGAACAAGCCTCGAGATGATTCTGATTGGTTCCTAAGGCCTTCATACTGTATGATGGTCGGACGGACAGATTGGAGAGAGATTCGTTGTAATACTTGTACGTCACAGCGGCGTAGTATTCGGTTCTAGTAGTAATACAGTACGTTGAAAAATATAGTCGTACCGTATGGTGCGCTTTGGACACAATTGCAACCATGTCCCGTGTCGCCAAGAAAAATCTGAAGTCTACTTCTGTAAAAAAAGAACCACCTTGCAATTACAACTGTGTGTTCTTTTTCAATGATTGTGTGACATGACTGCATGATATGCAAAACATTTACTTGCACTTTTTTCCAATGACCTATTTCTTGTTGGAAAATGGTCTGGCGCTGCTCAGGTAGCTCATTATACTAGCCTGATGGATGTCCACTCCTCCTCAGTACTAGTAGATGGCAGCGCAAACAAGAATTCTTGAAGGAAATTCCTTGTTCATACTACTAGTACTAGTAGTACCCGACAAGGCCCAGAATGTTATGATCAGGTGTTGTCAAAAACTTTGACAGGGTGATGCCTTGGAATGATCTCAAATTGGTCTAACAAATCAAGCTTTGGAGACTCAAACTGACAGTCCCACTTTCAGGGGCACTGACAAATTTGCACTGTGCAGCAGACAAAATCACGCCACCAGCCTTTTGTGCAAGAAGCCTGGTGCTGTCTCCTGAAAAATTGAGGTCCAGGACAAGTATGATGACAATGAGTATGGTAGCAATCAAGCCATTGACATGCGACAACAGGATGATGGCAGCAATGATAATGGCAGTGAACCCGATCATCCTGAGTCACTGGAGCCCAACAAAACGTAAGGCTCGCAAACTCACCAGACATACAGGTCCTGTGACTATACAAACTAGTAGGATATGTCCAGCAATATTCTTCTTTGGTTGGCAACAATGCAAAAAATACGATGTCTTCAGATGCAAGATGCTAGCAATACAGAAATCAAGACAGAAGATGCCACCAAAAAGCCCAAAAAGAAGAAAAAGACAAAAATCTCTTTCAAGGAATACAAGGAAAACTCCAATGGAAACCCAGGCATACAGTCAGAGTATGAATCTTTCAAAGAAGGCCTATTACTTGATTGCCCAGAAGGAAAACCTTGCTAATGGAGAGGAGGAGGACTTTGATATGGACAAATTAGAGGAGATGTTGACTACAACAACCAGTCAAGAAGGAATGGAGACAACAGTGCTGACATTGTTGTTGGTGCTATCCACACACATTGTGGAGTCTATGCCTTCCAAAAAGAGATCACTTGTGGTGTCAAGCACCACAGCCATTGAGGAGTAGTGCTTGATCAAGCCCTGAGTGGAAGAGGTAGTGGTTGATCGGAGAAGCTGCAGCATACTATCTACAAAATAAAACTTGTGCTGGCAACATTCTTCTATCCCTCTGATACCTCTCTTCTGGAGTAAGACTTTTTTAATAACTTTGGGCCTTCTGCTGGTCATTCAACTTCCGAATGTATTAGTATCTCATAATTGTCTCCATGACTCCCATTGTGTAGTAGTTTTGTTTGCCAGCAAGAAACTATATTCCTCTAATATCATTGAGTGTTAGTAAAAGAAGCAACATACAACAAATCTTTGATATTACTACTGCAAGTATAAAAGATTTTTGTGTTTCTTCTACTAGTACTGGTGCTGAAAATACTAGTAGAATAAGGCAGTATTAAAAAATTTCCTATCATTGAAAATTTCATGGTTTTCCACCACCACCAAACAGGCATGAGTAACAATCCCCTCTTTTCAGTCATAATGTTGAAAAATAGCAGTTAGAGAGGTTCCAAATTCCCAAAAAGACTGACATCAAGCCAGCAATATGCAGTCTGTCAGTCAAAAATTTTACTCCCTACATAATATGTGTAGCACATTTATCAACAGGAATCAACACCCCATTGATACTATACTCACATGGATTAACAAAGGTGCTGGTTCATTCCTGAAGACAATGATTTATGAGATATTATAATATCCAGACATTTTGATGGCCATTCAGCTCAAAAATATGTAGCAAAACACATTAATTTTGGTTGTAGAGAGGGACGAGCTACCACCACCACCACTAGTACTCCTAGTACTACCACCAGTGTTTATGTACTAATTCATGCATGTTTTAGTTGGGATCCTCCAGGACTTCAAAATTTTTAGTCTCATGTGTGGACAAAACCTAATTGAGCAATTGAAATTCACCAGACATTGCTATCATGGTACTGCTTTGCATGTAAATGTTGATCTGTTTTGGGGAATTGACCAACAGAGGAGTGTGAGGTTATTGGGTGATTCCTAGTATAATCACAGAAAATATGATGACGGTCTATACAAGAATAAGAAGTATTTAACTGCATAGGATCCTAGTTATTGAATTGTGGTGCCATACATCTGCTTAATTTGGAATACAGAATTTCATTTAACTTATTTGATTGGTTCTCACTAGCTCTTGATAGCATTTGTGACAAGATATTTCAAATCCAGGATTTAAAAAAAATATGTGGTGTGTGCATACATACTTTTGGAAGTTGGGAGCCCCCCTCTCCTACTACTAGTACCAAAAATCTATGTATCTGTGCATGTTGGAAATATTTGTTGGCATGACTGAAAATTAAATGTAATTAAATAGATTCTGTGTTCATGGGAATCATCTTCTCACTACTGTACTAGGTAGTATCATGTCTCAGGATTTAGCCTCTCACTGATTAGTAGTTGAGGTTATCTTGCTTGATCCATGAACATGACTGTAATCCCCAACGCAATTCTCTGTGCCTTCAATTCTTTTTAACTTTTTGGTATGGTATTGGCTGAAGTGCACTGGACTACCACTCTCTGCTTGTGCACAGGAGCCTGTGAAAAAAATTATCGCTCTAGACTTAGCTACAGAGAAAAAAAAAGAAACTTTTTTGTTTAGATTCCTCCATTTAAAACCCAGTATCCTATTTTTTTGCAAATAAATTAATAACTTGACAAAAAACAGATTATTCATTTTATCTTAAACATTCAGTCATTCCAATATTTGCAAGAAAATAATTCTTCCCAAGACTAAAAAATCAGTCTTAATGGCTCAAAAGAAGAGAATGTTCAAATTATCAGTTCAAGAATTGCTGTAACAAAACCTTGGGACAAAACCCCCCCAGAAGATATTGCTCCCTTTGCAACATAGAGCAATATAGACAAGTGTGCACCAATAAATGATGGCATATTTTCTGACTTTCACTCAAAAAATGTATTTTCTATAAATTACCAGATCACACAGGAGTACTACCTAGTAGTATCATTGGAATTATCAACAAGAAGGCCTCAAATGTAAAACTGAAGATTGGCAACAAAAAAAAGAAAATACAGAGACATGCCAGGTTTTCAGAAGTACTGCTTCTTACTAGTAGTAGTACTACTAACTGCCACATCAGATACTGACATCATTTTTGCAGGTGGAACCACCAAATCTTCCAAAATGATAGATCCAATGCTTAAAAAATTATGTTGGTACCACTACTAGTAGTACTCCTAGTAGTACTAGACCTGTCATGGTGACTGATGACAATAAGAGCAGCATAGTAGTATTAGTATTAGTATTAGTATTAGTAGTAGTAGTAGTATTAGTAGTAGTATTAGTATTAGTAGTAGTAGTAGTGAATGTTGGTGAAAAATCAAAACCGCCAAATGGACAAAAAATGATCATTTGTACATTCAAGTCTGTCAAACTGAAAAATGGATACTGCCATAGTACCCAACATACACAGCAAATTGATGAATATCAGAAACAGCAAACAGTCACAAGAGTTTTCATTGATTATCATTGATTAGCTTCTACTACTACTAGTACTACTACTAGTAGTAGTAAATTCATTTCAGAGGAGTGGTCACCTTGCTGGCACTAACTTAGTTTTCGTACCGCTACAAGTACGTACGTTCCGATACTGTATTCGTTATTCGTCGCATTACTGTTTCAGTCGCATTATCAGTCAGCAGTATCATGCGCCACAAACAAACACTCCCCCAAAACCTTTTCCGACAACGGCCCGGTGGCAGATTGCACCCCCGAGAGGTTTCCCGTTCGCAAACGACCACGCCCGTCGCACTTGTGGAGCCGGGGGACCGGTCGATCACCGGCGCCACGCCTTGGCCCACCGGGAAGGGATCCACGGCGCTGGCGCTCCACGGAGCCCAAGCCCCATCCGCGTCGTTCGCGTGGAGCCTCCGGCCCGCCGCGGCATTCCGCGGAGCGGTGGCGGAACATTCCCCCGGGCGCCGGTCCGGCGCCACATTTGGCCCCACGGATACCAAGCGCTCGTTTGGGGCATGCGGAAGCCGCTGCGGATGCCATGGCCCGCCACCCGGGAGCTCCAGACGAGGAACGGATCGAGGAGCCGGCCGGGGCCGCCGTTGCCGACCCGACCCACCGGGCCCGGAGGCAGGCCTCGTATCTAGAACAGGTCGGGCACAACTTTTGGGACTCGGGATCGGAAAAAAGGGAAACCCGGCGATCAGGCGCCTCGCCGAGGTCGGCCGGATCTTAGAATAACGGTGGAAAACGTGCCCGGGAGCAAACAAAACGAAGGAAAGGACCCTCCTGGTGGTCCGTCCAAACTACGAAATCAACTAGTGGTTGGGGTGCTTATATCTAGTGAAGCAGTTTGCAGAAAATCGGGATAGATAAATACAGACTATTCTTACTCACAAATTTCTCTGACGTCCTTCATAGCATCTTCAACACCCTGATGAAACATTTGCTCAATTGCCTTTATCTCTTCGACAGTACCACCGCTGCTGTTCAACACTTCACTTCCTTCGGGGACCCTGTGTTGTGATTCATATCCTCCTCCACCAGTCTCCAAATCGTTCTCGTCAGCAACTTCGCCTAAGGCATTGATATTATCACTACATGGCTGACGGCCAGTAGAAGGGACGGAATCATAATCGAGAACGCCCTCGTTCTTCTCATCATCATCTTCACTTCTTCCGTTTTCTGCTACTTCCTCGGATTCTTCTCTTTCGCTGCCACCGCCAGCATACTTCATATTGGACATCGAATCTTTCTGGGTACGATCAGTAGCATTGTGTTCGAGAAAGGGTCGGTGTTCCTCGCCAGGACTCTCTTTTCTCAACACAATTTTTTTTCCCTCACCGTAATCGTCCATCTCAATAATAAATCCCGCAGCAACCGAATTCAAAATAAATTCCATTGCTGACTCGCTATGTGCAAGCTGTATGGGGAGCAAGAAAAGCACAACTGTCAAACCACAGTAGTTGATTAGAAACGAAAGGAAAATTCTGAGCTTTATACGGAAACTTCCCAAAGTTTGCCAGTCACGTAATACTGCATGTGCATTAACAACAAATTCCTTTACACCATCAGGTGCCTTTATAATCCCTGAACTGCGATCTCGTTCAGAACCAATACTTGGACGAGAGCGATCCCTGCCCTTCTTGTTTTCTTTACCATCACTCTCTTTCTCTTTTCTGGGTATATATCGAATCATTGAATCACGAATCGTTCTATAACTTCTAATAATAACACTTTTTCGAACACCTCTATCAGCCATGTCATCGTCTTCCAACCTAAATTCTACTTTCTTTTCATCGTTTCTCATTTTGTGGACACGATACCAGAAATTGTATTCGACAAACATTTGTGTGAATGTCGGGTCTGTCGATGCTGTCGTTCTTTTCAATGCCATCGCAATCTGGATGAAAGAGCCAAGACCATAAAAACCGTAGGTACTCTTTTCTGAAAAATCAGGAGGACCTGAGCGGATCAAAGCGTACAAGTACAAAAATAGCAATGCCAGTTGACAGATAGCAGTAGCAATGACCACCATATACCCACTGGTAAGGTCCTGGTAAACATTGATAGCTGTAATAGTCGTAGTCGTATTCTTCTCGGAATACCATTTGTCGTTTTTAAACAAAAAGGGGAAGAGCTTTGCAACCAAGAAGAAAAGAGGCCCAAGTGCTAACTGCAAACCAATTACTCCGTACATGGTCTTTTCGTACTGTTCCTGGCTGTAAGCCAAGATCAGTATAGAAATGGAAATATTGATAACCATTAACATACCACTGACAAATTTGTTCCCGAAATTTAGGAGATTCGAACAAAACAGTTCGTTATTAGTAATTTCTTTTTCCTTTTCCTTTCTCTGAATGCAATCCCAACCCCAAGTGTAGAACGCCGTGCCAACGATACCGAGTATCAACGCAGCCGGAGTAATGACGAGGAGGCAGATCCAGCCCCACCATCGCAAGTCTTCGTACTGAATCCAAGCAAGCTTTGGATCATATGGAGTTCTAGGACAATGATCGCTCACTTCACAGAAAAAAAGATCGTCTGGATTTCCAAATGAATGACAAGAGGCGAACGTCTCGTTATGGAAATTGACACAATTGGCAATGCCTTTTCCATACCAGTTGAGGCATTTACTCAGCTGAAAGCTCTCACAACAGCAATCATTCATCGTATCACATGTAATTGATCCAGAAACGTGAAAAATGAAAAGCAACGGAGAGCGCCAAATCTTTCGCTATTGTTCTGCGACAAGCTCTTCCCGAAAACGTCCAGAATTTTGGTCAAGATCTATGGTAGGAAAGGATCCTGCCTCAAACATTCTTGCTGACATACTGGGGCACAACTTAGACATCCTACGTCAGAGAAATAGTTGTGACAATATATTGTTCCGCAAGTTGGAGGCTTAAAATGTCATTTACGAAATTTGTATGACGATGATTGGAACATTTGGTAAGGGAAAGTACAACTCAGTAAGAGTACCATATAACTTTTCCTTGCGAGGTAGGAAGTCCTTTCTATTCCTAATTCTACGATGACTACTATTTAGTGAATACCCTCGCGTTATGCGACCAAAACTTAGGGAGTATGAAAATAATAGTGCTCTTTCTTCGTTCAGGAATTCAGCAGTTGCCATTATGGCCCACTTCATGATTGCAGAAGTATGAGGATGGAAATGTCATTGAATGGCGGCATTATCAAAAGCGGGATGGGTACATATTTTAGACCTCGTGAAAAATACAATCTATCGTTGCAACGTGAAGAAAAAATTGGTGAAGATCCAGCAACGATCTCCATTGCGTCGTGGGGAGTTCTTCTTCGCCAAGTTCAGCAGTTGCAATGTCAGCACTAGCTATTTCCAACAAACAAAAACCAAAATAAATGCAAATTTTGGCGCGAATGTTTCTCGTTTTTGGCAATATCGAAATCGAGGCCGCTCCACACTTATTTTTCGTTCTTCCCATCTTCCGGAATTTTTAGGTGTCATTTGCAATTCGGTGATCAGAACCAGGGATAGAGAAAAATAGAAAAAGCGAGGATTGCGTATTCTTCAATACCGTAAATTTTCAGTTCCACTAATTTGTACAGCTGTTTAGGCTGCCGAGTCTGATTTTTGTCGGGTTGCATCTTCGATCGGGTTTCTGTTGAATCATACAACTAATATCGAAATTTTCATCCGTGAATTCCATTCCGAATCTAATACGGTTGAAGAACGAAGTATGGTCCAGTACGAGTACAATTGAAGAGATCCCCCCAGCCCCCTCGGACCCACTCAACAGAATATGATACATTTTCCGTCACGTGGTACGTTAAGTTGCTGCCAGTATGCCGTACTGTATTGAGCTAGTCACACATACAGTATCGTAATAATGACCAAGAAAAAGCAAGTCATTCGATTTTCACCTGCAGCGCACCGGAAAAGACCGAACTCTAAAAATGATTAATTAATCTTTTTAATGCATACTGTACATTAACACCGGGGTCAAAAGTCATAATAATACCCATAGAAACGGTACGTTGCCATTATTCTTGGAATTGGCGGACGAATTCCCATCGGTAAGATATCAATGTCAATTTCTACCTAATACGTACTGCACGTTTCACGAACAAGACTACTTTAGAGTCGTGAGTGAATCAGAAGATAATCGTTCGAGCATTCTTGTTCCTGATGCATTTAACTCATTACAATACCACTCGTGACACAGAATATTACAACAGGTTCTCCTTGTACCAGGGAGATGCCACCGATGCTCGTACAGACTTTGAAGTTCCTGTTCAGCGCCTACAGCAATACAAAAGTACTACTAGAAGCATTAGTTTCACGGCTCCCCTCTGTACTGTTCCATCCTTTTTACTGCTACTAGTAGTGTGGTTTTGAAAAGATTCATGTAGCGCTAGTAGAAACAAGYATTTCCCTGGCACAAGCCTCCTTTTGCAACCAGTGTTGTCTTTAAAGACTTGCAATTAATACCGCAGCAATGATTGCAAACACTCCTCCAATCACACTTCCCATAATGGCAGGAGTCGCAACATTGGTCACAGAGGACACGTCCAACACGTCCCACAAGTCCTGTGACACGTCCCACGAGTCCAGTGGTTGGTTGAAGGATGATGCTCCATCAAACATCGAACCCATATCTGTCACAGATGATGGTGCAGCACTGTTATTATTGGTTAGATCGAAACAACACCACGGCTCTTTTCTTGAAAATATTATTGCATCGTTCGGACATCCGGAGTCTTCGAGCATACCTGTACTCCAGGTTTCGGTGGATCTATCGATTTTCTTTTCCCACGATCCCAGGCACTGGTTGAAGGATGATGCATTTGAAAACATATAATCCATATCTCTCACGGAGGACACGTTCCACGAGTCCAGTGGTTGGTTGAAGGATGATGCATTTCGAAACATAGCCCACATATCTGTCACAGAGGACACGTCCCACAAGTCCAGTGGTTGGTTGAAGGATGATGCTCCAAGAAACATAGCCCACATAGTTGCCACAGAGGACACGTCCCACGAAGCCAGTGGTTGGTTGAAGGATGATGCTCTATTAAACATAGCCCACATATTTGTCACAGAGGACACGTCCCACGAGTCCAGTGGTTGGTTGAAGGAT